GGAAGTCCAAGGGGACATGTTGGTGTTACTAAGCTACAGAATACCTCCAGAGGGGTAGGAGTAGAGAGGAACAGTGGGAACCAGGAGAGGGCAAGGGGCATGTAGGTGTCACTGAACCACAGAATACCTCCAAGTGGGATAGGGGTGGTGGAGGGTGTGTATATAGAATACTTGGAAGTATGGTATATATATCATATTTATATTATCTTAGAGGTCAGGATAGGGCTACCTCCAGGTAAGAGAGGGGAGGTAAGGATTGGAATCATTATTTGCAGCAACCAGATAAAATGGCTCATTATAAAAATCCTTTAGGAATCGAACCTAAAAATAGAATAGACATACAAATCTGGTCAACAAGGCAAGGGGAATAACCAACTTTCCACATCTTAAAATGACTTAGTGCACAAATTTTAATCATTAAAAATTTCAAAATTAAGGGTAGACAACTCTGTTTAAATACACTACAAATTCAGAATTTCTCTGAAAAATCAATTATTTATTTTCGCATACCTGCCTTCATCAAATTATTCAAATACTTTTTGGTAAGTGTCAAGGGTCATTGGATAACGAGAGTAAGCCACATTAGAGGATATAAATGCAAAAAAGTTTTAATAAGTGATCATTTTACCCTAATCACAACGATAACAAAACTTGGAAGAGGAAGTGTACTTGAAATATTTGACTACATGGTGCAGCGAACATCAATAGGCATTTCTGTAGGAAACTCTTTCAAAGATTCAACTCTTCAGCTTTTTCCTTTCTTATTAGAGGATTTAAACCTATTGCACCTTTTTACCTAGACTCTGTTATGATAAAACAATCCTACAGCTCTATAAAGAAATATTTGTGTTTAAAATTGTAAAGTAAAAAGAGATTCGAACCCAGTGTACTATTTTACATAAATTCATTGAAACCATCCCACTGCTGTATAAAGAAATATTTGTTCTCAAATTGTGAAACTATGTTGGATATTTTTGATGATTGAGATAAAATTCCTTGAATATTTCAGACACAGATAAAAATAACATAGATAGTGCTTACGTTGATATCTATTTCTGCCTTATCACTTTCAGAAAAACACTTTCTTTTTGATTCTGTGTGAACTCAATGAAAGGGTTGCTTTTGGGCTATAGTTTAAAGATGTCCATTGGCTTATAATAATATTTTTTCCATGTGCTTATTTCACAGACTTCACTTTAAATCATGTTAAAATATTACTTCAACTCCCTATAGCATCCATTTCAGAGAGTGCACATGGAAAAAATATTATTATATATAAGCCAATGGACATCTTTAAACTATAGCCCAAAAGCAACCCTTTCATTGAGTTCACACAGAATCAAAAAGAAAGTGTTTCTCTGCAAGTGATAAGGCCAATGAAATCAAGCAACACCCTGCAGTGTGCAATGATTGACATTTTCCTGGACATACACATTCTATTTCATCAATGGACATTTTTAAAGCTTAAGTCAAACAGGACTGGCAAAAACATCATAATTAGACTCCCTGATCTATATCCATCCATGCTGATTGTATAGAACAATAAAAACAGTCAATATCTATACAAGTTTAACATTCCTTTCAGAGAGTGCACATAGGAATTAAGAGTGTTCTAATAAGTCAATGGACATTTTTTTAACATTACTGGTAAAATCATTTATCTCCACATCCCTGATCTATCTATATCCATCCATGCTGATTGTATAGGACAATATAGGACAGTCAATATCTTTACGAGCAGTCATATTGATTATAAAACTATGTGTGGAATGCTACTGTGTTTTTATTTCAACTTTCATAATCAAGCTCAGTAGGAGGGAGGGATGTAGCCCAATCAAGTAGAGTGTTTGCAGTCTTATGTAGCCTTGCCCCTCATCATTAGTTCAATGTCCAGCAGAAAAGTAAGACATAAGCCAGGCAGCTTGCCCTGCAATAAAGCCAAATAGGCAATTTTGCTATGATTGAGACAATTTTTTACCTCCTTTTTTGAAGATTTCCGACAATTATAAAGATGTAACACTAAGGAGAGAGGCAGCTTGCCTTGCATTTACAAGTGATTTTCTGCCTCCTTTCTTGAAGAGTTCCAATATTGGACAAGAAATTAAGCTAATTAGACAAGATAGCTTGCCCTTTAACTAAATTAGTACCTGTTGTGTTTGCTTATCGAAACCCTATCAACAGATACGGCCTTAATCTCACGACCAAAATACTGACAGCTGGATTGGGCAAGATGTTGTCAATTTAGAGTTGACAACTAGGAACCCCAATGACGTTACTGTAGTGAATGAGGTGAACTTCCAATCAATGCCAAGATAACAATAGCTCCACCCGTTCCGTTCCTTCGGTGCAAAGCTTTAGATGGAATGATGGACCATTTAGCTCCATAACAATAACAAGACCAATTTTACAATGTCAGAGGTGCCATTTTTAGCCTCCATTATGAAGAGTTCCAACATAAAAGATGAGGAATGTTAAAAATCTTTGGAATATGAATTATTTAATTATTGTAACATCTGTGCTGTGGTAAACTTTATCATCAATTGACTGCAATATAGGCATGACTCATTTGACATCATTTCAATGAAATGAATTTGATTACGGGGCATGCACTGAGAGGCAGGGGGTGAGGGGTAAAAGGGCTGGGTATTGCCAAGTATGCCACCATACATAATGTCAAATTGACTATTATATCTAGGCATGAGTCATTGGAATCAAATCTAATACACATGTACACTGTTACTGTACTATATTTCTAGATAGAAATTGATTCAAGGGGCATGCACCACTGAACTGATGGAGGTGGGGAGGGGGGGGTTTGAGGCCTATTAACTAAGAGGCATATGACTCATTGGACATCAATTTAATGCACACGCTGTACACTATTACTACACAACTGAAGATGAAATTTATTCTAGGGGCATGCAATGATAAACAGGGGGGTGGGGAAAGGCACTGGGGGCAAGGTACATCAAATTAATACATGTACACTATTACTACACAATTGAAAATGAAATTCATTCTTAGGGCATGTTCTGGGAGGTGAGTATTACCAATCATAATGCAAGGGCAATGTCCCTTCTATCACTTTCTCGTGTTCCATTAGTTTAATAACAAGGATTCCTTATTATGACCAATTTTTGTCCAGACAGGCATTAACACCTTATGTCACAATGGCTAAAAGTTTGATCTGAACCAGTTTACTCAATTATATTAAGAAAGAATGTTGCCAAAAATCAATCAAAATTGACATTGAATGGAGTCGATTAAAATGTACTCATGTGACCTTTACAGGGGTTACCATGTAATTATAATGCAAAGTACAAAATGATTCATATTCAGTATGTATAGGTATCAACAATCAATGTGGCTAAAGTACTAGTGAGGTAGTCGCATGCTTATTCCATAGACAGAACTCTGGGTTTGCTAACTGAGCATTCCTTTCAGAGAGTTCACATAGCTAGTAATGTTTATTCAGTATTTTTTATTTGTCAACTCTGCATTCCTTTCAGAGAGTCCACATAGATAATAATGTTTATTTGGTACTTCAATTTGTCAATTCAGTATCCCTTTCAGAGAGTTCACATAGCTAATAACATTTATTTGGTATTTTAATTTGTCAACCCCTTTCAGAGAGTCCACATAGATAACACTGTTTATCCGGTATTCCATTCAGAGAGTTCACATAGCTAATAATGATTTTTTAATTTGTCCTTTCAGAGAATCTACATCAATTTTTGTGAAGATAATTAGGTTTATCGACTAAGTACCCCATTCAGAGTGTCCACAAAGCCAATAATGTATATTTTGAAGGAATGTTTATCAATTAAGTTCCGTACCCCTTTTAGAGAGTGCACAAAGTGAATGTTTATTTAGTATGCATCTAATAGAAGTTTTCCTTTAACTATGTCACTATTCACTCACCAGTCATAGCAGTCTGTTACAAAAATTAAAATAGTTTTAAAGTTTGATCAGTCATCTAAATAATCTGCTTTATGGTCTATAAGGCAAATGTAATTTAATTCTTTGCCTTCTCACAAACCTGTTTCTACAAAACTCAGCTTTCGTCACAGAGAATCCACATAGAAAATATTAATTGGTATACATATAGAATAAGCTTACAGTAGTGTGCACGATATAGGTAGGGCTAGGTAAATTAATAGCTTATCATTGCTCGGAATTTTCTCCTGTGTACCTGTTAACAAGTAGTCATCTCTTCTACATAGGTTTCCTTCAGCACATAACATACCCACAATAACCTATATATAACTGATTAAAGCAAGAATATACTTCTATGACACAATATTTACAATGAAATTCAGAATTTTGGCATGTTTTTAATTAAGTATTTACAGGGTTTCTTAATTAAATTATTTCGATTATTAATTGATATCAGTAGTCTGCTATCGATAATCAATCTCAATAATTTGGTATCGATACCCAGTCCTGATATAGTACACAATATAAGTTCTATCATTTAAGTTCATGTACTATAGCACAAGGCTAAAACAAACAATAAAATAAGAGTGGTCTAAGATTTGATAATCATTTCAATACAACACCTGAAACCACTCTGGGACTGAGTTTTTCAACTTTCCTTAAAGAAATTCATAATAAAATGTCCAAACAAACAAAGAGTAAACTAAGAGTGGCCTAACTAACTGTGTTGATAATTATTTTAATATACTTCTCTAGTCTCTCTCTATATAGAGGTCAGTAGGCCAGGTACATTCTCAATGAAATCAAATACTTTCATTATGATATAATATACTAGACTTGAGTATTAACAAACTTTCAAAACAAACCACAGAAATTTGGTCACACCTCTTTTTATACCCTTATAGAATGGAAATGAAATTACATTTTGTACTGGTGCTCTACAAAGTGTTCAATAAAATAAAATTCAATTTTAATGCACATACAATTCTTAAGTACAGTACAGTACTGATAACATTTTAGACAGTCAAACCCTTTTCTACCTTTTTATAATGAAATTGCATGTTTTAATGACCCATCTGAACTAAAGATCTTCTTTAAAACATTAAAAAAATCATTATATCAATGAATGACAAAAAAAAATGTGTCACAGATATCGTACAATATTTAAAAATTAGTGAAATGCATATATTTTTAATGTTAAAGTATGTAAGCTTATATTTTTAACTTAAAAATTTTAAGCTGACTGATACTTTGGACTGCTCTCAAAGTATTGTTTTGCATGTAATGTAAAATGGGTTAGAGATATGAAAAAAAAGTGGCTTACCTTTCAGACTCCTCTTTCAACTCCTTGGCAGGGCTTTCTCTTCCACTGACAGCTGATAATAGTTCCGGAATTCCAGGATGGTCATTGACTAAATTCTGTAGTTCTTCTGTCATGCGCATTCCTTCCACCATTGAAGCTCTACGAGGCGTCGAAGAAGCAATGCCTCTGCTTTCGTTCGGTTTATCTTGTCCTTGCATTCCTGATAAATTGCCGCTACTTATGGTACCGGGAACTGACGACTGGCTTTTAGGAGCAGACAGATTTGTGGACTGTCCTGCTGGTTGTTTAGTAGTGACGGGTACATTTGACGTCATGGCTGACTGGCTCTGCGGAGCTCCAGAGTCGACATTCGGAGCACCGCCAGCTTGATTCAGAGGCTTGACGAGAGACTGTGGAGCTTGTCCTGGCATAGGAACATTAGTCATACTGTAAGGTTGTTGAGAATTGAAAGATTTGGGGTCAGTGTAATGTGAACCTTGCATAGCACTTTGTCCTGGATTAGCTCCAGTCTGTCCATGACCAGCCGTCTGTCCAGCTACATTCTGGCCTTCTCCAGCTTTCGTCATGCTTTGAGGCATGTGAGGAACACTTTGAGCATTTATATTAGGTAAATTTTGAGAAGAGTTCTGATGACCAGGGGGATTTTGTCCAACCCCCGATTGCACGGACGTCACACCTGATACAGGATGACCACTTGGCAGATTACTAGGGACTGGCGACGGGTTACTGGTGTCGTTACCTGGCAACCCAGGTGTTGACTGTCGTTGCGATTGCATGTGCGATACTTGGGGTACAGGTTGACTAGCGTGCGGAGCAGGATGTATGGGTACAAACGTCTCCGTCTGTCCAGGGATCGATCCTTCATTAGAACCTCCTGACGATGTATTGACAGTTCCAGTTCCGCCTGCAAGCAAAGGATTTTTTGAAGGATCATCAACTCCATGAACATAATGCACTGAATTTCCAGCACTAGAATTGCCAGAATGAACAGTAATTTCCTCACTTTGTTTTTCAGTTTTGTTTTCAGGGTCTAAAAAATCATGACAGTACCATCGTCCCCTGCGAAACGGTTCCTTAGTTTCAATTTTCACAACTTTGAAACGTGATTGGTTGTCACTGGGTTTCTCTTTAGCAATGACCTCCTCCGGTGTCAAGAGAACATCTTGATCTAAATCTGTGGCTCTCGAAACATCATAAATATCAGAACTGAAATCTTCTGTATGACTTTCATCCAAATCGTCAATGCTATCGCCATCAACGTCAGCTGTCAAGTCGCCACTTCCACCCCTCGAATTTGGAGTCGTATGTGTCGTGGTGACACTCGTAATTTTAAATGTGCTTCTTTTCTTCGGAATGGCATCCCCTGGAATTTTCTGACCATCACTTGATACTTTTGACTCGCCATCTTCTTGTATTCCTGAATCACTAGCAGACTGATTGTTCGTCTGCGATTTTGAAGGTGCAGCTTTACTCTGATCGACTGTTTTTTCAGCCATTTTTGGCTGATAACGTAAAAAGCACTGACTGAAATGCCAACTTAAAATGACAATTTCAAAACTCTCGTTCACTTGGGCACCAAAACACGGGTATGTGCGGAAAATTCACTTTTTCTAGAATCCGACCATCACATTTTTATTGAATTAGAAGAAACCAAAATAAAGTAAAACACAAAACAAGATATTGAGTAAGGATTATTCCATAAACGAGATATTAAAACGGAAATGAACGCTAGGTTTTCTGGGTAAGAAAACTACGTCATGGACAGACTGATTTTATTAATCCGAAACTCTTTACTATCGTTGCCTCTTTATCTCTATAGCGCATATCGCACCAATTAATGGTGCTAGAACTCTAGGCACTTCACTCCTTGTTCTAGATTTTCAAACATGGTTTTCAACACAAATTTTCTTCCTTTTCCAAACCAAATAATGCATTTCATAAGGGCCCATGAGATAACCTACTTACATTATTTGAATGATTCAGAACAACTTATGACCAATTTTGTGAATTAAGTTGACTTTATCGGCTGCTTGAATTTCTTTTTTCAAAACTAATTTGTGCACATCTAATCTAAATTGTATTTTGGAATTTTGATAATAATCGTGGAACTTGCAGTTTAGTTTGAGACGATTTTACTACTGCACGTATCGAGCTTAGAATTTTCCTTCATTGCACACAACATGGCACGATCTATCTGGTTTCGCTCAATAAGACATAGATAGAAACATAGGACAAAAAAAAAACTACTTCGATGATTTCATAGCTATTTTCAGAATGTCGGTGACTCGGACTAAATCGACCGCCGATGGAAATGTCTAGTGAACTTTGAACTGTTCTAGACCCGAAAAAAAACTGATAAAATGATTAACTTTCCACTCCTCGGTCAAACGTCTTATTACAATTCTTAAATTTGTCAGAAAACTGGTGATTCATATAAAAAAAATTCGAAATTTTATCACTCTGTGGTTCGTGGTCTATTTTCCTCTAAAAGTTCAAATTCGAACTGAATAAATGCCTTATGTTTGAATTTTCGTAACAGATTGAGCACGAATTAAGAGTAAAATTTTTGAATCGATGCCAAAAATCTATTCACATGATTTAATGAATGAATGAGTCGAGAAAATGCAAACCTTATTAAATGCGCAGTTGAGATTTTATGGTCAAAGGGAAGTAACTCTTTTTAATAGCCCTGTTATTTTCAGACAACAATTAAATCTGTTAAAATTCGTCCGCTCCTAAATGGGTAATATACACTGATGTGGGAGTTTGCATCTAACTTTTCTGCTCCTGATTGGGCTAATGAAGACTGACAACGCCCTTAAGTGTACAATGAGGGAAATTTTGCAGGGATGTATCTTAAAGCAACATGTTTTTAATTCACGAATTCCAGGGTTTCTTTCAAGTAGACCTACACAGTCTGTAGCACAGGGGCCTCAGTTTATTGTCCCATCCAGCCCCGTCGCCAGGAATTATTGGTGCTGGGGCTCAGATTTTGTACTGAAGAATTAAAGGCCCAGAGAACTCATTTCTGACAATTTTGAGGTGCCAAAAACATATCAACATCTATATTTTTTTGATTTTGTACTAAGACACTGTAAAGGAACTGAATTGAAGAAGGTTTTGCTGGGGCTTAATTCTCACTGGCTGGGGACCAGCTTCCACAGACCCCACCCTAACAATGGGGCTGGTCCTAACCAAATGTTGGCCATTCTAACATGCTTCACTGACAGGGGGAGGACTTGACAAATTTTTTACGTAAGGTAAACAAATATCCCAAATTCCCCAAAAATGCGAAAATAAAAACCATTTGATCGCTGGCCTATTTTATTAGTTTATATAAAAATAATATTTACAAATATATAAATATAGTAATATATTAACAAATACAAAATAAATTAATTTTACAAAATCTTAACTACAAATCTAGATTTGTTTTTCTTTGACACAATAAGCAAGAAAGGATCTGTTTAACTTGCACAGAAAATATTGCTCCTAATTGTAGGCAAATAGGTGCCAAGGGTTTGAAACCCTGTAAAGTCAAGGAATCTCTTGTGATCACCATCAAAGGTTTTGAAGCTAGGTTTTGAAGTTGAAGCTAAGAATAAATGCAAATTGGTAAAATAAAGTAACACACTCAAAAAAGCACATTAGATGTTAATAATTTCAAGGTAATCAGTCGTTGATTTACATTACCAGCTGATAGAACTTTTAAAGGGACAGATGCGCCATTTTTGAGGTTTGATTTCAGTCTTGATTATATGTAAATAGTCTTCCTGCTTCTGAGACTAAAGTATGATTGATCAAAACGAATGGAACACCTGTCCCTTTAAGAATTAAGAATCAATTGTTTAAAGTCAAAATTCAACAACTGTATACCTTTAAAAGCTTTATAAAGAGGCTTCCTAAAAAAATTATGTATATCGGGGACACTGATAGCATTGATTTGCACCATTCAAATTTTCAATCAGACGTCTGTGGTTCCTGCCATTCCACTAAAACTAAGTGTTTGATGACGTCACTAATCGGATAAAATCCTTGTATCATATAAGGACCTTCACAAGTAGTAACATCATCAATTATTTAGTTTTAGTGGAACTGCTATCAATGTCCCAGATACACATAAAAAGTTTAGAAAACCTCTTTACAATCCCTTTAAGTAAAAGTTTTTTTTATTTATTTTTGTGCAATTTTTATTAAGAAGCTACGTCTATGCTATATCTATGCATAGTTCCCTCTGAACCATGCCGATATTCTGCTATATGTGAATCTATCAACTCTTCCAAAGCCTCGGTTCTCTTTTTCTCTTCTTGTAAAAATCTTTCTGTTATTTCTTTAGCATGGTCTTCAGACTAAAGTGAAAAAAAAAACGAAAGAAATTATTCTTCATTAAAAGGGAAAAATGAAATGAAATGAATGGAGTTTTGGTGTTGAACTACGTCACTTTAACATCACTATCAAGGAGTTCAGGGACTCAGCATCAATTAATTTCGGAGAGTGCACATTGCTACTAATTTCAAGCATGTGTTAAGCTGTCAACTCGGCATCACTTTCAGAGAGTCCACATAGCTGATTTTGTTATTCCTTCAGAGAGTCCACATTTTATTTTAACTAGTATTTAGGTTTGCCAACTTGAAATCCCTTCTAGAGAGTCCACATAGCTTACATTGATTATTTGAAATATTAAATATAAAATACTTACCAGTAATCGTCCCATCAGATCACCGAAATCTGATTTACTACAGAGTGACATGTTTGTAGATTCAGTGGTTGTTAAAAAACTCATATCACCTTTACCTTGATCAGGGTTTATCAAGGGCTGGGATAGCTCGTTCATTAATCCTGAAATACAAACAACATAGGGTTCATTTAGGGGCATAAGCAGAGCAAACAGGGCAGGGCAAAGTTGGGCTTGTCAGGGTTGGGCTTGGCATGAAAGCACACAGACCATATAAATGTAATGATTGAACTCATCAGCAAATTAAATGAATCTCATCTGATAATCTTGACATGTTTCTGATACAAAAACATTCATCAGGCAATTATAAAAATTTTGTTTAAAATTAACAAGGGATACATACTCATATTTTCCCGTTTCTGATTATGAAGATCTTCTTCTAAACGTTTTTTCTGATCTCTGAGTAAATTCATCTGAATATCATAATGATGTAAGGTAGAGTCAACCTGGTTACTCACGTCAGTTATCTGTAGATCATTAGTAATCATCACTTTCTCTAGTTCTCTATAATATACAGGAGGAATGAATGGAGGAATGAAGGAATGAGGAAATGAATGAATGAATGAAAAGATAGTGGACCACAACCATACACGCCCACCACAGCATGCGGATGGTAAAAACAAAACACCCACTTTAAGTTTCATCAAAACTAAGAGAGTAATAGCATATTCAAGATTTTGGGGCAAGGGCAATAACTCTGCTTCTTACGGTTGAAAATAACTCAAATTGAACTTGATCTTCGTTTTATGAATATGTATGCACATACTGAATTTTATTTGATTCCATCAAAAAATCTAGTTGTAGAGCGTTTATAAGCAAATGTTGACGGACGGACGGACAGAAAGGGATGCCGACAATATACGTCCACATAGAGAGATGTGGGCGTATAAAAATGAATGAATGAAAACTTACTGTGTATCCTCAGAACGTAACTGATGTAAAGTAACGGCAGCGAAATTATTAGTTTTCTCCAATCTTTCACTAAATTTTTTTTCCAGTTCACTGATTTCATTTTTTAAGAGAGAAACATCGTGTTTCAATTCGCCATTTTCTTTCTAAAATTTCAAACATAATGGCATCAGCTTTACACAAGTATTTTCAGAAATTCTTTGGTTAGTATAAAAAAACATATGAAAAAAAAGTAGAATAGGTCATAAAAAACCACTAGAAAAGAAATTGGAAAACATTAAAGCTAGGTACCTCTAGTTTATAAATGGTTTTGCCATATTCGGTGTTTAAAGAATTGAGCTGTTTTTCAGCTTCAGCTTTGCCATACACGTCTCCAAGTTTATTGATAAACTCTTGTCGTAGATTTTGATTTTCTAGACGTAGAGCCTCAACTTGGGCGTTCGACACCTAGAGGGTTAGACAGAGGAGTTAGTCACACAAAAAGTTTTTAACGAAAAATAGAAAAAAAAAATGGAGGGATAGATCAAGACTACACTAGTTAACTAGAAAAAAATGGAAAATTTCAAAAGAAAAATTGAAAAAAAGACTAAAAAAAAAGTTGACTTGTGGGAAAAAAAGCAACGTTGGTAGAAGTAAAATTTAACGGGGAAAATTTCCACAAAAACTACCTGTAATTCAGCGATCCTTTTTTCACAAGCCTCAGTTTCATCTCGGAGCTGTTTCTCCATACTGGACGATTTCTCACTCATTGTTGCCATGGTAACATCTCGATGATGTAATTCTGTTGTTAGTTTTGACAGACGCAATCTCATGCCACTTAATTCTGCTCGATGGTTGCCATGGAGAGTTTCT